AAAAAAAATGAACAAAATGAAAAATTATGATTGGTTGAATGAGGTTTTCACGGTTTTTACAAATTGAGTGGTTTTTATTTGAACACGCCCCTATATATATATATATATATATATATATATTATAATGGTACTCGCATAATGCAGTGAAATAAATCTTGATTTTAATGTTTCGTTTTATCGATGTTATAGTGCGATTTTATGTGGTTTTAAGAAAACAATTTTTTTTTGTTTTTGAATGAAATATAAATTTGAAGATATTTTAAAGTTTTAAAAAAAATAAGCGATATTAGTATTAAATTAACTATTTAAAATTTTTCGTTTTTGTGTAATTTCTATAATTCAATTTCCTATTATAATTTAATTGAAGTTTAAAAACGAACTAACTTATTTTTTTGGTTTAATAAAAGATTTTTTTTAAGATAATAACTAAGTAATCTGTTATAACTCAATGATTATCTTAATTATATTTTAGATTTTTTATATTTAAAATGATGTTTATCATGTATTTGATTATATTTATCTGCAGCTAGTTACATGAAATCAAACTTGAAGCTTTTATAAGATGTACTCATGCACATATTCCTTGTAATCTTGAATTTTAAGTAATATGCATAAATAAACAGTTCTTTATGCATAAAAGTTTGTTTTTAAGAGTTTTAGCCAAATGCTTTATAATATAGTATATATATATATATATATATATATAAGATTGGGTTCACGTGAGACCAAAAGTTTTTCGTGAGACCGGTAAAACCAATTTATGTTCATTGATCAATTTTTATAAGCTAATGATCTAATGATCTAAATTTGTATGTTGACAATTTTGTGATTATTGAGAAGTCTCGTGACAATTTTGTGATTATGAATGTTCAGATTGTAGATCTAATCCAAGTATTGAGGGGTCTCACGAAAAACCCTTGGTCTCACATAATCCCAAGTATATATATATATATATATATGTGTGTGTGTGTGTGTGTGTGTATGTGTGTATGTGTGTGTGTGTGTGTGTGTGTAATATAAGCTAAAAGCTTAGTGAATATCATATACTTGAATATCATATACATGCAAGTGATAACATAAATCACATATGCATCATCATTATATTTCACTTTATACGTATACTTGAATATCATATTAATAATATCAAGCCATCATCATAAACATATTTCATATTATGCATATAATTGAATATCATGTAAATCAATACAATCACGTTATCATTGTATGCATATAAATACATCGTGCAAATATTATGGATAAAATACTTTGTAATAATCATATATATATATATATATATATCTCATAAAATTGCATAATGTACTCACCTTGAATCGTTAATGTTCGATAGATTATTTGTTATGGATAGCCAGGAAACGTTTTGCCCAATACCTCACAAGCAGCGCCGATGTATATTCATTACCACTATAGTGTAATCCTCGAATCAGAGTCAAATCCACCTTCCCTCTCATCTCAGGGTGAGGCAATAAATTCAAGCAAATGTTCGTTCTTCAATATCTCGGCTTTTTGGTTTAATATGGTATCGATAGCAATGGTTGTTTTTCCAGTTTGTCTCAAAAACCGCAACCTACATGATAATTCATACAATTCCTAATCCCCTTAAATAATCGTAATCAAATTGATCATGATTCCCTAACAATTTTAGCACGAAAAATCTTAACAGTTTTTATTGATCAACCTCGATCCCATGATATCTTGTATTTCACTCAAGTATTTTCTTTAAAAAAGTATTAATAATGACGTCGTTATAATATTAATTGACGCTCGTACATTTTATAAAATATATGCAATACACTCCACATTTTCTTGAAATATAAATATTTTACCAAAATAACTAAACTAAATAGTTTACAACGTAAATAATATTTTATAATCTAAACTTTCTTCTAAAATTTCCAAATATTGCATTTTTATAGGTTAAAGAGAGCAATAGTTTTGTTTTTGAGCTAAGAAGGTTTCAATCTAAATTCATCTAAGGGGTTGTTTGTTTACCTCTTAATAGTTTCATTAAGAGGCAACATTTGAATCGTTAAGATGTGAATCTTGTTTGGCAAAAAAACATTTGTCTCTTAATGGTTTTAAAACCTTCTAAATGATTTTGTATCATAGGCCTCCCTTAACCATTCAGCGCCATAATTTGATTATAAACAATCACCTAACAATTATATTTCTTTTTTCAGTATCCCATGAGAGCCTCTTAATCATTCTGACCACTTAATCATTCTGCACCAAACCATTCAGCAACTGCCAAACAACCCCTAAATCTACAAATAACTATTTATTTTACTTTATAAACATTTTTGTATTTTTTCCATCATCTGGTATAAAAAATACAGTAAATATACATTTTACCCTTCATAAAATGTCGACTTTGAATCATTGCCACAATTTTTTTTTGTTCAGTATACGTCGATGTTGATCCTCTAAACTGTTTTAATTCATATATTCACACAAAATGCTCATTTCATACAAATTAAATTAAGCAAAATTTGATTCTCTTTTGATAACGAACATGATTCCTTTATAAGGAAGTGTCGATTACACGTGTCAACATCATAACCAATTAGGTTTAGATGTTTGATGATTGATTTAAACCACACAAAAAATCAACCATTGGTTTTGTACGCATGTGGTTGTGGATGAATCTTTACGTCGACTAATGAAAAGTATCAGTAAGTAGGCCCAACAAAAAGGATGATGATTTATGGTATGAAAACGCTTCGTAAACGTGTTTACCTGCCGACCAAATCTAAAGAATTGTTGATAGAAGACAATATGATATTGTAACATCGAGTCCCTCGTTATTTGAAAATGAATATTGTTAACTTTTTTTTCTTATAAAGTCTTTAAATTAATTAATAGTGTATTTGGTGCGATATTTAATAATGGAAGATTTAGATAAAAGTCATGAAAAAGATAAGAAATGTATATTCACATGTGAATAATAGAAAATATCTATTTGAATATACATATATGAACAATCGATAACGTCGATTCACACATGCATATTCAAATAGATTTTTTTTTTCCAAATTCTTTTAATTATTCATATATGAATATTCTCTTCTTATCATTTATAATATTTAGGAGTCGTTTATTAAACGCTTATCCGGTAAGTACTTACTGGGTAATTTTCCTCACTGGATGAACATGACAAATGCCAAGAATCTTACCCGGTAAGGACAATGATAAGGATGGAGAGTCTTACCTGGTAAGGGAGGGTGACGACTCTTACCCGGGTAAGCGCTTAATAAGCAAATTGTTGCATTGAACACGTTTTGATGTACTACAATCTTACACAGTAAAATAAATTATAGTGTTGACTCCTAAGAACAAGCACTTACCAGGTAAGCATTTAGGTAAACAACCATCTAGTCTTTTTATTTAAAATGGGTCCTCATTTAAATATATTATCATAAAGATATTTAATGAAATGATGGGGTATTTGAATAGTTACAATAAATTATGCCATTATCTACTTTTGGTCTACATCCTTTTTTTTGGGTATGATATTGAGTAAATTACGTTTCTCATCCCCGTAATTTGTTGAAAATTATTGTTTTAGTCCTTATACTTTTAAAATTACAATTTTCACCATATAATTTAGAATTAATTTTCGTTTTCGTTATTATGATTTAGGGGCCGTTTACCAAACACTTACATAGGTAAAAACTTATTAAGTCACTTTGCCTCACTGGCTGAATATGATAAAGACAAAAAAATTTACTGGTAAGAGCGAGACAATGACCAAAAGTCTTATCCGTTAAGTGAGGACGACGACTCTTACCACGGTAAGCGCATACCGGGTAAATTGTTACATGCGATATCGTTTTGATAGACTAAAATCTTACTCTATAAGTAAATAGTGATGTTAAATTTTACCAATAAACATTTACCGGGTAAGTATTTGATAAATGACCCCTTACAATCTATTCATGTTTTTGTCCCTGTGGTCTAGTGGTGAACATGGTACAGTACCATGTTTTTTTTCCTTTCCAATACTGTGTACTAACTAATTATAATTGACACGTCAAATTTTATACCATGTACCAACCAACTATACTTGACATCAATTTTATTCGGATGGTACATGTTGGTACGGTTTTATACCAACTAAAAGTTGAAGTTACAAGTTTATTTATATTAATATCTTTATCAACTAGACTTAGATGCACTAAAACCATCGAGTATCTAAATAACATGCTTTTGTATGTTGTACCACTTATCACTACATATACAAGCATTCAAATAATTTTCATATAATACAACCATCCATTAATATTCTAATACAAGCGGCCATTATGAAACGACGACGCACTGTGAATGTGTGACGAGTTACTAAGGTTGTTAGGGTTGGACGAATGAATTCAATCACGTTATATCTATTCATCCATATCATAATTTATTAAAACCGAAAATAAGAACATTTAAAATCCAAAATCTAAATATGTTGCATTGTACCAAACTTTAATTAATAAATAATCAAAAAACGGTATTACCATGATACATGACTTCTAATACCATGTAACAACCAAATTTAGATAGTTGGTACGTACCTACCAACCAATTAGGTTGATACCAATTAAATTGGTATGGCTGATAAAGGAACTGGTTGGTTTGTCATGGTACAAAATCGACACCCGTGTTGTGGTCTACAATTCTTTGATGTTTTCTTTTCTTATAGTTAAAGATAGAAGTTAGTATGGGAGTCAAAAATAACAATGAATTACAAACCTTAGAAACAAAAACCACAAACTATAAGGACTAAAGTTGCAACTTTTAACAAACCATATGGACTAAAAACATAACTTACTCTAAGATATTTAAAGTCTGCTGATAAACAAATACAGAAAAACAGGGTGTATATGATTTCAAAAGTCCTAGTGTACCTACACAACCGTTAAAGCTTGCATCTTAGTGGGGCATTCGGTTGTTTACCGCGGTGGTTGCCGCCCTTTCTCCGCCGTACTCCGTCGTTCATCTTAACCGGAAAAACAGATGAACTCTGTTGATTGCATTCATTGATTTTGTTGCTAAGGAGAAAAAGGTAAAGTAAAATCCTTACTTTTCCTTTCCAAGATCTTGATTTCTTTGAAAACCCAGAAGATATTATCAATAAATGATGGATTATATTGAGTTGATGAGGAATATGGAACATGTTTTTGGGAGTATTCATGGGTATGGAATTGAACTTCGATTTTTTGAGGGTTTTCCTGTGATTTGATTTTGATAGATGGGTATGGTCTGATCTTTTGAGGTTATGAACTTAATTACCATTTTATTTGTTTATGTTAGAATATGTGAATTTGTCCAAATCTAGCTGTGGGACTCTAACATGCCCCTCCAACATAGGGCACTTATTGTCCCAGAGGGGGCTAGACGGGTGAAGGGCCAGGCGATTGCCCCAGAGTATTGAGTCTCTAGTGTGGTATACCTTGGCTCTAATACTAGATTGAGAGGGATTGCAGAAAATCGGGAAACATACTAAAAATTGGG